GTACTAACCTAGGACAAATTGTAGACAATTTATTATCAAATAAAATGGAAAATAAAGCGACATTTGAAAGGAAAACATGGAGATCGTTGTCTCTGTTCTGCATGGGATTGCGTTATACAAACGCTCGCTCCAGATATACCACCTCCTCCCGCACTTTCTAAGAAACGTATGCGACCCGCGGGGACACGAGAGACGACTCGATTCCGATTGCAAACGACACGAGTACATTACATCTGGCCGGAGATAACGTTACGAGGATCGTCGACGATACACAGGGCGAGGCACCTATCTCGATCACCTCGGATAATTGCTTAACGTGTTAAGCGCCATGGAAATCACCATTTTTCTGTACGGTTATCATTTTTACCGAAGAAACGTGGCAACAATCATTCACTATACAATCTTTGCATTACGCTATTATCAACTCAGTTACTTATAATGCAACGAAGTACATTGATTTTAACACTGGGACTACGTACCAGTCAAAATGACTGGTTTCGATTTTTTTGTTTAGCAATTATTGATATTTTCATTGAATATTCGAAATAATTTTGAAAATAAATAGTTTCATTTCAGTACTATAATGAGTGTCTGAAGAAACTGAAAATAATCTATTGTTACAATTTTTATAGGAATTACATATCAATCGTATTAAATGCTCGGTAGTTCTAGTGTTAATGAAGAATTAAGTGTACATCGGATGCAACGTTTATTATTATTACAATTTATGAAAAGAATTCTTGTTTCACTAAAATTCACTATAAAATGTTTCTAAACTCGAACCTTGTTAATTGATTTGGTAAACGTCGTATTAGTACACGCGTGTCGCACATTCAGGTTCGGATAGAGTTCGATCTACGATCGTAGGGACTGAGGATCGAGGATCGAGTCGTTACTAACACACCTTGCACACTTTTTTAAAACAGAGAATATAATACTGTATATATTCTATTGTCGTGTATTGATATAACATATTACCTTACCTTCGTATACACAAATATACATAAACAAATAAACGAATAAATATATATACATAATACACCACATACATATACCATCATTTACAACGTTCGAATGTAATAAATACAAACATCATTTTAGAAGATCCTGTCGTCTGTATCCGTCGAACAGATCCGAGTGAATCCGCAAATTTCCAGGAGACACCGGCGAGATAATTGGCAGGCAAGGCAGCGGGATCAATTGGCGATCAATGTCGATTCCACCGAAACGGGGCCAGTGTCTCGCGATGAGAAAACGCGGAATCTCGGTTTGACCGTAATTCGCGTAGAGACCACGCGCTCGCCAGCGCGGCTCGCTATTAAACGCGCGAAGAAGGGACGTTTGCGCAACGCGTCGTCTACGGCACTGATTACCGAGAATTACCGCAATTTCCATGATTTCCCTCGATGCGGGTTCTCGCGCGCGACGCGGCGCGGCGCGAGAAATTGAGGCGATCCCCCCGCGATAACGTCTGGAATGCCTGATTCTGTGTCAGAGGGCTGACGCGCGGCGAATCGCTGCCGGGACGAGTCTTCTTTAGCGGCGGACGGATTAACCCTTGGCACTTAGCAAAGTCGCACAGCTAAGTGTATATATATAAACTATATATATTGGAAAGCTCAAACATCATATTCTTATGCAATATATTTCAAATAGATAATCGGTTCTAATGAAACTTAACCCTTTGCACTCGAGAGGCGACTCACAGTCATTTGGTTTGATACAGCAAAATTAGAAAGTATAATATTAAAGTTCATTTAACGTGATTATCCATGAAACGTTAATATAGATTAGTTCTATCCCTTGATTTCTATATTGTTTATATTAATGATAGTTATAAAACCTACCATTGATATTTCATTAGAAAATGAAGAATATATCTAGCAATGTTCGAGTGAAAAAGGTTAATATTCCTTTAAACCCTCTGGTAATTAGCAAAGTCACACAGCTAAGTGTCTTTATATAAAAGCGGGTTGTTTTGTAATCAGCAACTGCAACTAATTTTTATAGTGTTACCAGCGAAAATTAGAAATGCTGTAACATTTCTTCGATCTTTTGTTTTCCTTAGCACAAAATTTGGATGTGGAGAATCGAATAATTTTATGGTAGTTTCGAGACTCATTAAATATTTAATATCATAACTGGTGCAATATTGGAGCCTACAGAGTTCAAAGGGTTAAATACCGTGGGATGCGCGATTCGATCGGGCCAGAATCTTTCGTGTTACAGTGGAGTTACCGAAGTCTTATTTAACCCTTCGCAGACAAGGTTTGCAATAGTCATTTAAAACCAGCGCACATTTCTGCTTAATATTGCGTACCGGCCACTTCTCAGAAAACTCAATTGTTTAGATGGAAAGTTTCAGTGAGATCACTTATATTGCTATACATATAAGAACTCAGATATATTATTATGTAATATATTTTAAATAATCAATTCGAATCAAACTACATTTTTCTCAATGCTGTGGTAATTACCGAAGTTACAGCTAAGTGTCTTTACATAAAAGCAAGATTTCTCGTTACTTAGAACTAAGTAAGCGTAAGCGTAAAATAACGTCGGTAAATCTAGCGTTAATTATCCCGGATTCTCAGAGACGCTAAATTGATCAAACAGAATGCAGCTGGCGATACACTATCTCCCAGACGTCTAAATAGCAAAGAATCTCTCGAAATCAGTAACAATGATCTATAATATTACGAGAACCTATTACCCAAGTGTTCACATCACCGAATAACGGAGACTCCGCAATTAAGATTCATCCAAGGCAATAAAGGTAAACAGAAATGAGCGACAGCTAACTCAGCAACTAAAATATTCACGTATCCAATCTCATCTCACGAACATTTTGTTTTCGTCCACCTCGTCCCTGCGACAAACAGTAGATCCAGGAACGACGGGGAACAGCACACGGAAATTCCGTTCGCTCGTGGAGCTCGCGATTCTCGATCTCGCCGGATTGATTGGTCGCATGGCAGGTGGACCAGGAACAACTCGTTCGTTCCCTTGTATGGCTCGTCGATGAAATAATACGGTCGGTATCATTATGCACGCATTTATTTCCAGTGTCCCGGGCACGTCCAATCCTGGATCGTGATCCATGCGAATGGATCCATTATCTCAACAGCGTGACAAGGCTGTGGGCAGTCTGCTAATGCGGCAAGGGACGGATGTGACGTAATCTGAGGTCACCCACGCAAATGGCGCACGACTCTGCCCGGCGCGGCGGTCGTGTGCAGCTTCGGCGACGTCGTCGACGGTCCGCCGACGGTGACCTACGATCGAGAACCGACGAAACAAGGAAACCTCCCGAGTTTCACCCTTCGAGCCAGACTTTCGTTTCTCCCGGAACGTCGTCTGAAATTTTAGTCATCCTCCATGATAGTTTTCAATTGACTCGAACGACGTGGTCCTTAACGTTAGATCTACTTGGCGGATGAATTAACTATTATCTCTTTATACAAATTGCACGGTGCATCGATCTGGATTAGCTTGCATTTCAGACTACTCCTTAGAGAAGCGGTTCACTGCATCTTTTCGCGATCGTAACAGAAGAAACCCGAAGTGGGTCACTCCGACCTCTTCGACGGTTGCGGCGTTAATTCCTTCATGCCGTTAATTGGCGGAAGAGCCGCGGAAGATACGTAGACGAGGCCCGAAGGCTTCTCCAGGGCGAAAACGCAGCCGTGAACTCGGCGAACGTGACACAATGGTAAATATTCGCGGCCGGAAGTCGGCGTCTTCGCCGCGGGAACGCCGCGAGCTCCAATTACGCCGCGTGGGCGGATAAATAAAGGGAGGGCCGATCGCGGCGAGCCGACCGGTACACCTATCTAGAGAATTTTTCCGTCGCTCGTACGGAGACAACATTCGGGGAGTGGTACGCGGAGCGTACGTTAAATGAATTCGATAAAAATAGAGGGGGTCAATAGCTGCGATTGACTCGATGCGAACTGAAACGACTCTAAATTTAGGCCCATTCGGATGCTGCGTGGGTCTCTGTGCTCGGCTCGCTCTGCAGAACCTTTAGTCCCAGCTGGAGGCCCCTTAATTCCCTTGAATCGGCTCCGGCCACGAAACGGCGCCGTTCAAAGGACGCGTTACCGATTCAATGCGAGGGTAATGCTTCCGTTCGCCGTGAAAGGCGGCCGGCATGCAACGCCGATCGTGCTGGCGAACCGTTCACCGAGTGAAACATCGAGAAGCAGTCGTTCCCGAGAAAATGGTTAGCTTAATGCTCTTGTATAAATAATAGAATCAATACAATTTGCAACTCTTCTTCCTCCATACTAGAAAGTAATTAGAGTTCCTTCAGAAATCGACGGCGATCGTGCTGGCGAACCGTTCACCGAGTGAAACATCGAAAAGCAGTCATTCCCGAGAAAATGGTTACCTTAATGCTCTTGTATAAATAATAGAATCAATACAATTTGCAACTCTTCTTCCTCCATACTAGAAAGTAATTAGAGTTCCTTCAGAAATCGACGGCGATCGTGCTGGCGAACCGTTCACCGAGTGAAACATCGAGAAGCAATTAGGGTCATTCCAGAGAAAATGGTTACTTCAATGTTCTTGTATAAATAATAGAATCAATACAATTTGTAACTCTTCTTCATTTCATTAGAAAGTAATTAAAGTTCCTTCAGAAATTAACTCTAGCATTCTAATTCCATCAGTTCTCGAGGATTACAATAATTAAGAACGCTCCTACATTTCGCTCTACTCGATGGAACCAGGGTACGCCCGAGTTCCATCTAAATGGAACCGAAGGCCTCGAGTCAAGGGACGAACGAGCGATTTCCAAACCGCCGAGATTCCCGGAGCCCACGTCGCAGTTTAAGACGCAGGCTAATTTCCGCGAACGCGTTGCAGTGGGTGTGTCGATCAGCAGAAACTACTCTGGAAGAGCTGGTGCAGCTCGCACACGATGGCCGATAGAAACGTCTGGTACCCTGGCGGTCTCCCTCCCTGTGCCATCTCGGTTACCCCTACCCGCGGCTCGTTACCGCTGCAGTTCGGCGTCGTATCCGCTCGGATTGAGCGAGGCGGAGAGATTACTCGGTTATCAGCCGCGACCACCGGATCACTCGCCGAGCGAACGTTCCACGGTGGACCAGCTTCGAATCCGCGGCCCCCGAGGGAGCAAGTACGTCGTCGGAACCGTTCGAGGGACGCGAGCAGTCATCAGGTTTCCCGATCGCCGGGGTGAAACGGTGACCGGAATCGCGACGGATAGGGGATCCGCGATCGCGGAGGATGATCGTTGGTCGGAGTGGTGAATACCGATAGTAACGAGGGTCGAGGGGATGTTCCGGTGAATCGGCGTTCTCCGTTAGCCTCCTCGATCGAGAGTGCCGCGTGCCGATTTATTGTGCCAGGTGGTGGCCGACGGTTGACCAGTGTGGGTGATGACAGATGTGTTTTGCTCCCGTGCTCCGTTCGCGTTGTCGTGCTCGTTGTCGGTCGCGAGCTGTGACCTGCTTGTGAGATCGCGTGCTCGCGATCCCGCGCTCCGCGAGGCGAGACTGCCACGAGATCGGTGAGAATACGCCGCAATTGGACTCGGATAAACACTAGAAAGATGTCAGCCGCGGCGAGGATTCATCAGCTGCTGGCGATCCTCATCTGCTGGCAAGGTGAGCCCTACCAGAACCATCGGAACCGTCCGCTCCTCTCTCTCCAGCAGCCCTGATCCCGATTTCCAACTTCGGAATCATTGATATTGAACTTTGCGTCCGTTCGCCGCGATCCCGCTTGACGGTCGCGCGTAATACAACTAGAAAATTAACCAATTTGCTGAAATTGAGTCGGACCATAGTCACCGCCGGCTGTCACGCGACGATCGCGCCATCCGATTGCTCCCTCGCTCGCGGTGTGTTCGGAGGACCGAGCTCCTCCTCAGTACCCTCGCAACTCCTGTTTATTCTCCTCTGTTTCAGCTTACAGCTACAGCCTGATACTGGAGGAAGAGAAGGAGCCGAACTACCTCAACGCGGGCGTAGGAGAGTACGCGGTGTTCAATTGCGACCTGGACTTCCCGCACGAGACGCCGATCCCGTACATTCTGCAGTGGAACCGCGATGTAAGCGCGACGCTATCCGCTCGATCGACTTTCCAATGAAATCTCGCGACCTCTCGTTTACTAGACTAAGGAAGATGAGGTCTTCTCGTCTAGGAACGTCTTTTCCCTGAATCTTATCTCGTTCACGCGGAATGTTCCTTCGAAAGTCGCATCGATGGCACTTTCCTATCGAATCCGAACGCAGCTCTGTTAGGTCGCGGAGGATGACCTCGTCCATCTCACGCCTTTTTCTAAAAGCCTGTCGCATTCAGGCGCATCAGTGGCGCGTTTAAGGTTGCGCAACGGTCGTAAGCGATATTCCGCCGATCGGTACGCTAAAATCACGAGAGTCGCGTCGGTTTACACGCGGTCTGCGGTCGGTCCAGGAAGATCTTGCTCGTCGGTCTCGATCAACGAGAGAAAACCAATCGGCCGGCTCAAGGAAAGCTTCTTCTCCGGCAGCGTCCGCGTTTTCGACGCAAAAAGCTGCTCCCAATTGGCCGGCATTAAGCCAATTCGGCTGATACGAAAAAGCGGCGGGTCGCTTAACGAACCTCGACGATCGCCGCGCTCCCGAGACGGAGCACAGGAGCGAGAACGTTCAACCGCGTAGAAAAGTGCTCGCTCAAGGCAGGGTAGGCGATTCGATTTCCTCGGGGTGTGTATCGAATTCGAGCCGCGTGGGAAGCGCGCGTGTCTCGGGTGCGAGTTTCCGTCGGCCGAGTCTCGGTTTCGAGGTGTCGCGTCGCGCGATACGCGATTGCACAATCTCGAGCGGCCGCGCTTACGCGGGGCCGCCGAGTTTACACGGTTTTCACGTGAAAACACGACTTCGACGCGTGCACGGCCGGTGACGCGGTTCCGTGTCATTCGAGTTTCAGCGGCTGAACACCGGTAACGTCCTACGTCGGTTTACATTTTCTAGAACGGAGGTCTATTAACACTGGAAATACTGTACCAGTCAAAATGACTGATTTTTTTAGCAATTATTGATATCTTCGAAGCATTGAATGTTCGAAATGATTTTGAAAAGTTTCATTTCAGTAGTATGAGTGTCTGAAGAAACTGAAGATAATCTATTGTTACAATTTTTACAGGAATTGCATTTTATTTGTATTAAATGCTTGGTAGTTCTAGTGTTAACGCGTCGCTGCCAGCTTCGCGTATTTGCGACGATTAGTGTCTCATTTGTGTAGTATTCTGGTATAATCTAGAGGAAGTCGCAGAGATAGTCTTTCTTATTATTTGTATCTTGCAAAGACGGTGTTTCATTTGATGAGACATTGCAACCGTGGAGTCGAAGGAAACGCTGGTAGCGAGTGGATTGAGCCTACGTCCTCTCAGAATCCGTAGCTAAGCGTCGGCAACGTTAGTGATATTAAAATGTTGATGTTTCGAATTGAAATTAAGTGAATTTTGTGTTTCTCGTTTAATCCTATCGCATGAAGATTAACCCTTTGCGCTCGAGAGGTACTCAGTCGCCATTAGATTTGACATAGGAAAATCATAACATTATTGTACAATGCATCGCCACAAATATTACAACAAAACAGCTTTCCCAGCTCACGTACATTCTCTAATTAGTTAGTCTCGTGAAATGTCGTTGAAATGTCACCGAAAAGTGTCGAATGTTTCTGCAAAACATCCGACTGCAAGGGGTTAACACTAGAACTACCGATTAATACGTAATCCTCATAAAAGTAGTAACAATAGATTATCGTCAGTTTTTTCAGCCACTCATTACAGTATTCAAATAAAACTATTTATCTTCAAGATCATTTCAATTATCGAATGCTTTTAAGATATTAACCCTTTGCACTCGACAATATTTTTCATGAAAAATTGATTATCTTCTATAAATTAAGAGACAGAACTCTTTCACTTCGATGTTCCATGCGTCAATACATTGCACAAGGTTTAATTGAACTGAAAATTTTATAAGTTTGCCGCCTCGAATCAGGTGGCGCCCCTCGAGTGCAAAGGGTTAATAATAGCGAAACAAGATCAAAACCAGTCATTTTGACTGGTAGTTCCAGTGTTAAGCTTCCGCGAGCCGACGCTGCCGTCGGCTCGCGAGGTAAGTCCGCATCGAACCGAGCTGAAACCTCCAAAGGACGTCGAGGCGTCGCGTTGACTTCCTGCCCGCGGACAGGAGGCGAGATTCTTTCGCGGATGTTGCATTCGACGCGCGTGCAGCCGTACGCCGGAAACAGATTGAGCGTTGCGCATGGCTACCGCATAAAATCAAGTGGAACTTAACCTGATTGGTCCCTGATGCGTATGCAAAACAGGTGCTGGCTCCCTCTCTGTCTATCGAACGATGGTAATTGGAGTACGGGACGCAAGGCTGCATTATATCCAGCGATGGCTGGTCCGCGACACGAGGGGTCCAACCAGTGGGTCACTGCTAACGCATTGTCAGACGATTAGGGACGATTAGCGGCCTTTTCGCCAGCCTCGTTTTGACCGCGAGGACTCCCCAGGCCCGTCGTTTTACATTTTCACCGGGGGACTCGCGAGTCGCGTCGCGTCTCGTCTCGTCTGGTCGCGTCACCTTCGGCCGCGTCTGCAATCTTCGTCGAACAGACACAGTCATCGTCGGCCTAACAAGCGCGATTGATTTATAGATCGCCATTGCTCCCTGCGACTCTTACTCGGTTCCTTCTACTCGTACACTTCCGGAGCGAAGATGTTATCCTTCGCTAGAACGATCGAATGTCTTGCAGCCTTCGACTAACACAAAGTGAATCAGATTTCCGATCGGGAGAATCCGAGAATGTTCAACGTCAAAGCGTTGCCATCTTTTACGTAACACCTATGCTTAGCAAAGATGGATAGGAGGAATATTTTCACCCTTCGCACTTTGAGGTTTTTCACTAGAAATATTTCAACATTTTCTGATGAGATGAAGACGATTGTAAAACCAAATCGACAAATTCACGTGAATTGACGGACAAAGCTAGTTTACGTCAATATTTCTCGGATTGATGCATTATATGAAATATAATATTAACCCCTTGACCTATGATTTCTTTCTTAACTCTCATCGATACGGCTACTGTGTCATGAATAATTTATTGGAAGAAGAGAAAAATTCTAAGCATATGTTATTACTATATTTCCTTTTAAGTATAATAGCTGATTACAGAGGAATAATATTTATTTTGAATTCGAATTAACTAAGTTCTTGGTATTATTCAGTTTCATGAAACCGAGGAATTACAAGTACAGTTGAATTAAAACTTAATTGTATGAATTAACATAATTCATCGATCTTACGAGCAAACAAATATTCCGTCCACATGGAACGTTTCGGCTGGGAGTATCCAGCACTCAAAGGGTTAATATTACAATCCGAGGAATCGCGTGGTATACACAGACAGATGGATCTTTTCGAGAGAAACGTGACTAACTCGTCCGACAGAGGGGGATGAACCTGTTAGCGGCGCGCGATCAGTACGAATCATCCTCCAGCGGCGGAAGGGAGCTTTAACGTCGGGGTCCACGTGTGATTTCAGGGTCGAACGATCTTTTCATGGTACAACGGTCCGCCGACGGTGGGTCTGGGCTACGAGGGTCGCGTGCACCTGATAGAGGACGCGGCGCTCCGCGGCTACGGGCAGGGCAGCATCAACCTGACGAACATCCGCGAGAGCGACCAGGGATGGTACGAGTGCCGCGTGATATTCCCGAACAGGACGCCGAACTCCCGGAACAACGGGACCTGGTTCCACCTGGCCATAGATGGTAAGGTCGCGCTCGCTTTCTCGTAATCCGTTGACCGACTAATTCGATAACAGCCAGCGGCGAAGGGAATTAACGTAGTTAACCGCCGGCTGACTAACCCTGAGCACTGAATTGGGTCACGCTGGCGTGCGGACACTAACACCGGACGGAGCGGAGACTTGCACCGTGAAATCTTGAGAGATTTCTCGGCGAGGATGAAGTAAGCGTTTAAAACCTAGCTCGAATTCCCCCGCCGATCTTCGTCGAACGGATCCTGGAGAGGATACCCTGAGATCGATCAGGTTCATTTTATCTTCCGGACGGATCGACGAATCGTTCCGAGCCGAACCTTCGAGGCTGACGTGGCATAGTCGCGACCCTCCGCGCGCAGCGAGATTAGAGTCAATGATTCACTCGTTAACCCAGACGGAATTCTGGTTTTTGCTGGTAGAATTCCACCGGACGAAAGGCAATAGAGAATTGAGTCACCGCGGCCAGCCAGCGGCACGTTTCGTTGTTCGAGGATAATCAATCGAAAGAGCGGCGACCTGCCGTTAACAGGAACCCGTAGATCGACGGACAATACCGCCCCGCGCACAATAGGGGCGCGCCTTTTCCCGGAACCGTTGAAAACCGCGGGCAGGAATATCCGTCGCCTGTCTCCGATTCGGAAACGTTTATGCCTGCGTCACGCACCGATTCGTAATAACACTTGCGTTGTGCGCGCTTCATTTACGCCGATCGCGCGTCGATTAACCCTTGCCTGCGATGTATCTTGATCGATTAACTACTTCTTGCGGCTGACTGCGGCGAGATTAACGCGGTTAACCCCTTGCCTTGCGGCTTTCCTCGCGGTTGTATCCATTAGAAGTTTCTCTTATATTTACCGATTAATTAAAGAAAAAATTCTGCGTTGATTAGAAAGATTATAATTCTATAAAGATTGACCCAGATTGTGTCCGTTAGAAGTTTCTCTCCTTAAGTTTAATCATTAATTGGAAAAGCAAGAATTCTACTTAAATTAGAAAGATTATAATCCTACAAAGACTGACCAAGAAGATGAACAAGAATTCCATTTCGTCTCGAACGAGAGAATACCTGCATCCATTAAATCCCTCAGAAAATTTCGTCTCTAATTACATTCGATGGTAGAAGGCAAGAGGTTGACACGGAATGACAAAGAATAACGCCTCGAAAATGGCTACCAAGACCGAGAACGAACGAATAGAATAATCCCGCTGACGCTTACTAACCTGACACTGGGCAGACTCGTTAAATCGTTCAACCCAGGTGCGTCGCCGTTTGGGACGTCTGTTCCAGGTGAAAACCTACTGGCTGTTCCGCCGGTGAACAAGACGATCATGGAGGGAGAGTCGGTGAGCTTCGATTGCGTCGCTAAAGGAGAAAATTCCTTCGTCACTTGGCTACGCGACGGCACAGACATCACGCAGATCGAGGTAACCGAACGAATCGCGTGTTTCCTATATTCGCAGGAGTATCGTTCACTTTGAACAACTTTCGTCCCCTCGTAACAGGATTTCAAGAGAAGAGCGTCGGTCGCCGATGATGGAACGTTGAAGATCAACTCAGCCCAGATGGGGGACCTGGCGAAATACACCTGTCTGGTTACCGGCGAAACTGGGGAGCAACAGAACGCATCAGCCTTCCTCAATGTGCAGTGTGAATATCGACGAAGCACCTTGAACGCGTGCCTGGGAATTTCGATGGCTTTCGATGTGTCGGACGCTTATGTGTTATTAGAATCAGTCTGCTATTATAGTGTATCAGTCTATATTACTTAGAGATCGTCTGTTAGCTATTCGACTGTGCCAAACTTTGAGACGTAGGAATTCAGTCGCAACGTACACCGAAAATAGCGAGAATTCAGATAGTTCTAAGCGTCTACAGTTCCATAAGAGCAATATTTTCAAGCGCCTTCAGTGTCGTAAACGCGTTTTCTCAGCACTCCTGGTGCTAACAGTAGTCAAAGAGTCAATACCATGAATCGGAAATATAGACGAAATTGCCTATTTACACTAGCAATGAATGTGTTCAAGATTCGTCATTAGTACGACAGACTAAGTAATATAATCCAGAATTATATTATATTTATATATTTATATATTAATATATTAAAATATTCATATATTTATATATTAATATAATAAGTAATATAACGCAGAACATTCGAAATTCTCACAGCACCGAGCACAAGATTCCCTGGCAAATGTTTCCCACTAACGCCTCCATTCGCCTATTGTTCCAGTCAAGGCGAAAGTGATCTACGCTCCTCGAGAAGTCTACCTCCCCTACGGGAAGCCGGCCCTTCTGGACTGCCACTTCAGAGCGAACCCGCCCATGACGAATCTGCGCTGGGAGAAAGACGGATTCCTCTTCGACCCGTACAACGTGCAAGGAGTGTTCTACAGACGGAACGGCTCGCTGTCTTTCAGCAAAGTGGACGAGACGCATTCCGGCAGCTACACCTGCACGCCGTACAACGACCTGGGTACAGAGGGCCCGAGCCCTACCATCTCAGTGGTGAGCATTGTACCCGTTGGACGATCAAAGCAGCGGCCGTCGCAATTGATAGAAGCACGAGCCGCGGCCACCCTCGAATCCGCCGGACAAAAGTGGTGCGCGCTACAAAGAACGAGACGACGCGAGCAAGACCACTGACCGCCGCGAGCAGACAAGTGTTAACCGTCCCTTTATCTGCCAATTACAATTGACTGTTGCCCGCCGTACGGTTTCCAAGGCAATTCGCCGCTAACTCGCGATCCGGCTTTTTGCAGATCGTCCAAAGGCCGCCGGTGTTCACGGTGACACCTCAGCACTTGTACATCAGGAAACTGGGAGAAACCTTGGAGATACCTTGCGACGCCACGGACGGGGATCATGCTCATCGACCCTCGATCGTGTGGTTCAAGGTACGCGTTGCGACTGTGGGGATCGCTTTTAGGAAATCCTACGTGGAATGATGGTGTAACGAAATCACCCTCGATTTGACAATAGAAGTACCAGTCGAAATGACTGATTTCGATTGTTTCGTTTCACAATTATTGATATCTCAGCATTGAATATCCGAAATGATTTTAACACTAGAACTACCGTACTAATCGAAATGACTAGTTTCGATTGTTTCGTTTCACAATTATTGATATCTCAGCATTGAATATCCGAAATGATTTTAACACTAGAACTACCAGTCAAAATAACTGGTTTCGATTGCTTTGTTTCACAATTATTGCTATCTCAAGAGCATTGAATATTCGAAACGATCTTGAAAATAAATAGCTTCACTTGAATACTATAATGAATGTCTGAAACCGAAAATAATCTATTGTTAGAATTTCTATAAGGATTACATGTCAGTCGTATGAAATCCTCGGTAGTTCCAGTGTTAACGAGTAAGAGTTTATTAACGAACCAAAGTGACAACTTTCTGAATTCATATCACTCTAAACATTTGCTAACTGCTACTTGAAGAATCTTAAGCATCTTCGCATCTCCTCGTAAATCTATTGCTACTTTTGATAATAAGACGTCTCCTACCAGGATGGCTCGCCGGTTCCGCCCAACAGGACCTACCTGATCGGAGGCAACTTGACGATCGACTTGATCCAGGAGCAGGACAGAGGACTGTATCAATGCGCGGCGAGCAACGAGGCCGCGACGGTGGTCGCCGACACGGAATTGATGGTGATGAACGTGCCACCGCGCGCTCCGTACAATCTGAGCGCCAACGCCAGCAACAGCGCTGTCACGTTGACTTGGGTGCCGGGATACGTGAGACCGAAAACGGAGTACTCCGTCTGGTAAATGAAGTTTTCCGATCCATATCGGTCCGCGGTGGCTAAAAGGTTAACGCGATCTCCGTTCGCGATCAGGTACAGACCCACCGACACCACCGAATGGCGAACGATGAAGATCTTGTCGAGGAAGATCACCGAGGCGACCGTGAACAACCTGAATCCGGGCCGCGAGTACGAGTTCATGGTGCTCAGCCAGGACAAACACGGCGACGGGATGTTTAGTAAGACCTTACGAATCTTCACTCATCCGAGTACGTTTCCCAGTTTAACGTAATTACGATTTTACGCGCGCGATCTCCGAAACGCAAGTGTTATCGATGCTACACGCTTTTCAGCTATGTTCGACGAGAACTCCGCGTCGGAGTACCGCAGTCCTCCAGGTAATGTGTCCAGCACCGAGATGATTCGTCTGTAATTTTCCGGCGGGATTGATATCAATTGATCGTTGGTGATTCGTAGATGAGAGAATGGGACCGCCGGTTAACGTGAGAGTGCAGGCGACCGTCGAGGGCTACCTGGTCACCTGGGAGCCTCCTATGTACGGCAAGGACCAGGTCAGACTCTACGCTGTCAGATGGTTCCGTGGACCGTCCGAGCGGCTGTACGGAAGAGCGGAAACGACGGACACATACTACCTAGGTAACGTCTTCAGTTTGCTTCGGTTACTTCGTTGTTACTCATTAATGAGAAATTCGGTTGCGCAGTACCTAGATGGAAGCCTATCATCGATCTACGATCAGTTCTTTTATCTATATCGTAAGAAGTAGGAGGTTTTTCCTTGAGAATTTTTCAGCTGGAAAAGAGTCTATCTAAAGAGAATCTGCGGATAGACACACTTGCGGCTTGAACGTTTCGAGTAACCTCTCCGCGATCGTCTTTCCAGTTAAAGCTCTGGAAGAAGAGAGTTACTACACGTTCGAGGTAGCAGCCATGTCGATCTCGGACGACGTCGCGACCAGCGAGAGGATAAGCCTAGAAGTGCCTGCTTACCGTAGAAACCGAGCGATTTCCATGGGAATCGTGGCCGGGATTGGATTTCTGGCCGCAGCCCTGGCAGCCATATGGTGGGCAAGGAAACGATTCTGTCAGTCGCCGAACGAGAAGTAGGGGATGCCTCGTGGTCCGACATACTTAGGCGACGAGCCACGCATGCACACCGTATACGTTGCCACGGTCAGCCGCCAATTAACTTCCCTAAAGTAGCGTTTTATCGATAGCCGAATAGAGAGAAAGAAAGAGTGAGAGAGAGAGACAGAGTGAAAGAGAAAACGAAGAGGGAGAGAAATATAGAGACCGAGAGTGAGAGAGAGAAAGGGAAAGAGTGGAGGGAGTTAATTTCTATTTCTCGACCGCGTCTCAAGGTCTCGCAGCCGATCGTCGTGAACTTATAATCGTCACTCGATTAAGTTATGTAATATATTATACAATAATATCGATCGCGTAGATATAGAGACAGAAACGGAGAAACATAGAGAGAGAGCGAGAGAGAGAGAGTGACTGAGTGAAAGAGAAAGAGAGAAAGAATGAGAGAGCAAACGAGAGCAAGCGCCGGAGAGGAAGCGATTCGCCCGAGGAATTTGTATCTGGGACGATTCAATTTACTGCGTTTACCTACATATAAGTTACATACGAGTGTTCTCGCATTGCATCTCGTTACATTATGTATCGTTTAAAAGCTTTATTAGATAAGTGCACGTTTATTAAGGATTAGTTCTGGCATTTGGTCGTTATTCGGGTACCGGGCCGCGGGAGACGCGCCCCGCCATTTTGTCGGCGCGGCGCGCGCCCGAGCACGTCTCGCCGCCGGCCAGGATCGAACCCGAGGCTAGGACTATGCATACATGTATACATCCGATACGTTTTTTTTTCTATTGTAAATAAATTGTGTCGATTATCCGTGCACAGCCGTCTGCTCCTCGCCCTCTGTACTCTCGAAGAAGAAAGAAAGTGTAAAGCTTCTCAACCGTATTTTCCAGTTTCACTTCCGTTTGTTCGCTTCGTTACGCGCCGCGACTGTTACGCAATAAAATCAATGTATTCGTTTCGAACGTACCGCACAGGTGAGTTGCACATTTCTCCGATCGTTGCGTCACGCCGGTTGTAACGAGTCTAATAATTTTCGCTTCGATTCAACGCGTCACGCCGCCGAGCTGGACGAGGCGCGAGAAGGGTCAGAGCGTCGACGCGGCTCGCGTGACCGGAGAATCCCCCAAATTGTTTGGACATCTCGGGTGCAATCGACCCGCGGTCGACGCACGTATTGTCCGCGAGGAACCAGGATCGAATAATGCGGGTGTTCTTACAACTACAAGGTCTTGAAAGGCTTCGTAAGCGGCTGAACGATAGCCGGTGATCCGCCGAAAAGATAGTGTTTCGCCGGTGAACGGTGTCGGGGCACCGTACACGTCGAACGCGACGGAAACGCGCGTTCTCTGTCACCGAGAACGCCGGGAGATCGGTAAGAATTTCATTTGCTCGCGATTTTCGCGAGCGATCGGATGCATGCCGACGAACGCCCCGTGGCGAATTCAGTGGCCGAAGCGGCGCGGTTGATCCGCGAGATAAGATTGTAACGCGTAATGCAATTTACTAGCCGTCTCGAGGTATACGTACGTACACACCGATAATCAATGTCCATTCGAGATTAGGAGCACTCGCCACTACCGATTATCGGTCCAAGGATCTCGTCGGAGACCGAAAGAGAAAGCCTTTCGGTGCCCCGCCTTTTACCGACTAGGTAGCCAGTATCGGAAACGGGCAAGATACCAGCAGTTTGTACAGTCGCGCCAATCCCACCGTTATCTACCGCAAACAAGCCTAGTCCGATCAAAGATCAGAAATATAATCAACAATTTCTATCTTCCGAGAGCACTGCTACGTCTAACATCGCTGAACTCGTATCTCCGAGTTCCGCGCGACCGTGCGATTACTTCGTGTTGTCGCAAAGGTTGCAGATACGATTCAATCGAGCAGTAAAACTCCTACTAACACAGAGTCATTGAACAATAGATCTCTCTCGCTGACAATTTCCTCCGTTGCAGAATTCCTATCGGTGCCTGCTCGTCACAAAAATATCCGAAGGCTTGAAAACGGTACTTTCGCGCGACAACCGAACGTTAACGCGCGGAAACACGTTCGCATTCCCGTTAACGCGTTAACGACGCTTAGGGGAGTCGATAAACGCTCGATGGCAGGTCAGAGTTCGACAGAGCGTAATTGCCGGAACAATTAACGGACAGAAGCCGCGTCCCGACGCCAAGTCGCAGACGCGGCAGACGATCCCGCTTAGCAATGGAGAGATCAACGGCTTTGAGACGCGTGGATCAACCGGTTGGAGGGGGCTGCAAGGGTTGGCTCGGCACTTTACAGGCTTGCTACCTGTCGCGGACTAGCACCCTCTTCCTCCTCTCGCGCCAACCCTTTCAGTTTTGCATCGAGCCTCGCCACGAGCGCCTCGCCGCACGGAAATCTCGATGCAGAATACACCGCGGACTTGCAGCGCACGCGTTTCTCGTAGCTTGAGGAACGTCGCTCTACGAATCCAACCGATCACGCGTGTCAGTGCTACCGATTTCTCGTTGGAGAAGAAAAATGTCGAACCCCCGTCGCCAAATTAAGGTGCTCCACTCGAAGATAAGCTGACCATGACTGCGTTCCTGAAGAAAATCGGTTTGTCCTGTCTGCTGTCGGTTAATAATATTACGCGTTACTCATCTTCCTTCATTTTCTTGCTTCCTCATGCTGATATTGAGAATCGTTCCCCATTCACGGCGTAGTTATGACAGCGAGCGTTCGCAATCGATTACGCGCCGGAACGATAATTAGTCCCGAGAAAGGCTGCCGAGCACGCACGTGCCGCGCCGCGATAACAACGTTAATGCCACGCAACGCCGGGCCGGCGGACCGAGGTCGAGAACTCGCCGCGAACACGTTGCCAAAAGTGTGGCCCACTTCGCGGCGAGAGTTGTTTTTCGACGGCTGCTCGCTTAAAAGCGTCGTTGTTGGCTCACGCGTCGGAGTCGCGGATGAACCGACGCCTTCATCGTGTTCCGGGTTGCTCGGACGTTGACGCGACGGAACGAGTCTGTCGCGAGTCGGAAAAAAGGGGCCGTGAACGTCGGACTGGTTGCTCGTCGTGGGCGGCGAACACGTGTCGTCTTTGGAGACGGTTTTCGAGCGGCTCGGCAGCTCAGCTTTCGTGGCATCGACTCCTTCTCGCGAGTTTTACATGAAAATTCATTTGCTAATGAACCGTCGATTGAATTATCGATTGAATAACATAGGAATAATACACCGTCAATTAGTAGTACAATAAACAGAACGATTCCGCATCAATTCTTAACGTCCAACTCGCATCACGCGAAACTCAGCGCCGACCATCGATTTTCGCAACGTTGCAACTTCGTAGGATTCTCTTATAATTCACAAGATCCGAACGGAGTATCAAATTCCGCGCGATCCTCGTGCAACCATACATCCGATAGTCGGCGTGCAACGTTCCCGAGCCACGTGAGGCGTTAACGATAACGCGAGCACGTGTAGCAATTAATTCCTAACGAGGCTGCAGTCCGACGCGCGCGATCGACCCGCGCCAAAGAGGATCGCGCCGCTCGTGGTCTCGCGATAGTCCGCCGGAAGATAATGGGGATCCTTCGACCACCGCCGGTGCACACGGGGGAGAGAATTTCTCGGCGAGGCGAGGCCGGCCAGGCAGAAGAGCCGACCGAAAGAGAGAAAAGATCCCCCGGTGGAGGGGATGCGACCAATGGACATATTAGATGCAGCCTGTTGATTCATCGAATGCGGCAGTAACAGCCGCGCCGTATACAGCGCCGCACGCGAGTCGCGAGGTGATTGAGCTGCAGCGTGGTCTCCGTTAAATTCGTCGTCGCCCACGGTTCGTGACTGAAAGACGGGACCTTTTGGAGTCCGCCGGCGAAACGAGGCGTCCGACTGTCGGACCGAACGTTAGGGAAGCTGGTTCGATCGCGGTAAGCAACGATCAATCCCTTTCCGCGTCGAACCGTCGGCCTCCCGTCGCGTTATTTTTAAGCGGGCCACGGATTTCGTGTCGCGTCGCGCGGCGGATCGGAGTATTCGAGGAACGCGCGGCTCGGTGGTGTTTCGAGGTATTTTTAAATCGATCCGATTCGACGGACACGTTCGTTAGAGATGAGTTGTTGTTGAGCCTTGCCCTTTATTATTCATTAACGGTCACGTAAACCGAGCGAACGCCGCTTATAAATTACTCCAGCCGGTTACGACAATAGGATTACGCACAGCCTCGACTCCGCTAGTCGTTTTTCCGTAGCCGCGCGCACGGACGCGGCGAGCACGCGCTGAAACGCTATAGTTAGCTGGCGGCCGAAGAAAGCCAGCGCGAGAGGTCCAGCGCGAGCGGTAATGACACTTTGCGACACTTGGCTTATGTCGAAAGGAAACGGGCCGCTAACGAGGAAACAATTTACCGTGGCTCAATTGTAACGGCGAACAACAAAACAGTTCGGGCCGGGCGGACCTCTTGTCGAACGCGGAGCCGGTTCTACCATTCATCCAGCGGCTCCGCTCCCGTGGGGATAAAGTGCAGGGTCTGAGCCGTTTCAATTCCACATCCGCGACGCTCCGCGTTCGCGCCGCGCCGTTGTTTTATCAGAAGTCGCATGACTCGTCAATAATTATCGATAATGGGTATAATAGACTACAAAGCGGTTTATTTATGCGATTCCCAGGTTAATATACATTTACGAGTTGCGACACCGAGCAAGAAATAAGAATGTTGCTAAACGTTAGCGTAACGTGTCATTTACGCTCATTAAGTCGGTTCTCCGTGAATTACATATCTTTCAAAACGCGATCGCTTCCAGATATCGCAGCAGATCTCATGAGTTGCACGATACCGGGTGTTCGTAGGATTAGCTGTTCATTCGGGAGTGAAACTATCATTTCTCCGGAGCATTTCTCCAGAGATCTCGGATGCGATCCACGCTCGGAGAATGTTCTTAACGCTAGGTTAACGCTTCAATTTGAGGCATGTGGAATTTTATCTGCAATTACAGCAGATATGCTATTATCTAGTTCGCAACGTGTAGCTCCCAAAATCCGAAAGAAGAAATGAATTCTTCCAGGAATTAACATAAATCGTGCAATAAACGTCTCAGTGTCAAGACTCATTACTGGACAGAGAAATCTGCCAAGACTAGTCATCGACTGAATCAACATTACGCCGTGTTCGCGCTGACACATTAGCAGCGTCATGAGCTTCGCATACAAATGGAGAGCTCCGCGGACCGACGCGTCGTTATCAACGCGCGTTCGTTCCAGCAATCCGATAGACGGCGAGCACGAAACTTGGGCAAAGCGTAGGTGAAGTGTTGAGAGTTCCGAATCACGAAACAACGCGTCTCCCGTCGGGATAGGAATTAGGGGTCAAGTGGTATCGGGGTGGAGTAGATTCGTCGGTCGGAGAGCCAACGAGCGTTCCCCACGATAGGAAGAGCTCGCTCGTTGGCGTCTTTTGTTGGTGCAACGCGTTGGCACACACCACGGGCCGGTGAACCGATAAATGACCTCTCGTTGCTCGCGCTCGTCCATCAAACAGCGACAACGCTCGCAACGCGGCGAGGCCGGGATTCGCCGGATACCGCGACAAAAGCCTGGAACCAAACGTCGAACGATTATCTGTCCCTCTATTTATACGCGTCTGGTCACGCTCGGCGGAAAGTTTCCAGCCACGCGGAATAGAATCGCACGCCGGCGACGAGCCGCAGCCCGTCGGTCGACGCCGATGCGGTTCACGTTGCGAAACGCGTCGGAATAGGCCGAGTTTTTCTCCGCCGACGCCGTCGAGCCGGGCGGACTTGCGTCGGAATAAATTTCAACCGCTCGTTCCTTTCCGGCACAATGTTTCCGCGTCTCTCTCGCTCCGGCCGGTCGGCCGCTATCGCGCGCCGGTATTTATCATCGTACGACTTCGTCGGTGGCAAGTGCATAAGGTTTCATCGGAAATAGGAACGCGCGATAAACTCGACCTATAAGAATCACACTCTTTTCTCTCCGTCGGACGCGCGTAGATCGGAGTTAGAGTTCATTGCGACGGAGATAACGGGCGGCCGGTTGTGAATGGACACGCCGCGTCGGTCGCGGGAAACGGGGGCAGAAGGGCCACGAAAAATACGAGCGACGTAGCTGTATGTCGTAGCAGATGTTTGATGAAATGCCGAGCACATTTCTGTAGTTCTGTACGCCGATTATCGAACTTCTGCTGGTGTTACTGGGATTTCTAGCTTCTCGGTGGCGCGGCCGACATTTTTACGCTGCCATCTTATTGTACGCTTCGATCATGTAGAATGGCACAAAGTTCGCCTATTTGGGCTGATATTTGATGACATGGCAAGCAAATTTATGTAATTTTGTGTGCCAATTATCAAACTTCTGTTGATATAACTGGGATTTCTAGGTTTTCGGTGGCGCAGCCGCCATTTTTACGCTGCCATCTTATAGTACGCTTCGATCATGTAGAATGGCACAAAGTTCGCCTATTTGGCCTGATATTTCATAACATGGCAAGCACATTTATGTAATTTTGTGTGCCTATTATCAAACTTCTACTGATATAATTGGGATTTCTAGAGTCTCGGTGGTGCAGCCGCCATTTTTACGCTATGTTATAGTACGCTTCAGTCACGTACAATGGCACAAGGTTCGTCAATCTAGGTTGACATTTGACGAAATGGCAGACACATTTACATAGTTATGTCTATCGAATTATCCAACCTCTGCCGATACTGCGTCGAAGCACTACGCCGCGAAAAATCGCTGTGTTTACGTTCGCGCGGCTCGTTTAATGAAGCTTGCATGAACATAATTGGCGGACGGCGTTGATTGGAGCAGGATGGCTCTAACGAACGAGTGATTTATTTCACGCTGATACGATGTTTACCGTTTTCCCTGCGCCGTGACAGCCCGATTTTCGCGGCACTCGGCGATTAAGGGGAGCAGAACGTAAATGCGGCGCGCGCGCGCGACCCGTGATTGGGTCGGCTCGCATTACCGCGACGCGAGGTATGCATCTTTCCTTCGCCGAGGCCTTGAAAAATTACGGAGTTCCTGTCCTGAGATCTCAGACGTGCTTTGCATCCGTCGTTCGAGGAGTCAGCAACATTTGCCTAACAAACGCGACTGTCCATCGGTAATTAAACGATAACGAGCCATTAACTCGAGGTCGGCGATAAACTTTCGTACGCTCATTACGGATCGCGCAATTATCGCGCATTACTATCGCGACTCCTCGGCTGAGATTACAATCGAGTTTCAATAAACGATGAAAAACATACGGTTTTTTTTCCATATCGATTTAAATCCGGCACTTCCTCGTATCGATTCATTTTTTCCTCGTACGCGGAATCTACGCGGAACTTGCGAAAGACGGCCTCCATGTGAGTTGCATAATTTCATAAGTAATGAGTTGAACTTTAGCTAAATCGGTGCAAGGATGAACAGAGTATCGCTCGTTTTTATGTTTGTTATTCTAGCGATTCGATTTATCAATGAATTTTTTCTGCCTGAAAAGTTTACGGAATAAGTTCGAGTTTTCCACGGCGAGGCCTGAAATCGTTCAGCGGTTAGACCGCGGCGATCGCGGCGGAACAATTCGAACCTGTGGAGATCAAATATTTTCTGTTTCGTTTGAAGCCAGGTGGAAAACCGAGGCATAAATTGAGTCGGCCGCCTAACAAATAAACTTATCCACTGCTCGCTATATACACGCGTGGTTCCTCTCAAGTAAATTCGATCGTGCGTTCGATTCATAACAAATGAATAAACGAAAAATATCGGCGAGCGTAGTGAACTTCAGTCGAAGACAAACACGTAGACTCGTAGAGTAGTATTTTCATTTCTTTCTTGAACCAGCGTCTTCGCTAACCGAGCATTCTAAGTCGTAGCTGATATAGAAAATTCTCGTCGGAACTAATGGAAAGATTGTCCGATGCTCGAGAAATGTTTAAAATTTCCAAGGAGACGAAGCGAAGAAAAGCAGGCTGTTTCCGAGGAAATTCTCGGGGGATTCTTAAATGAGATTGCCATAGGGGTTTCAGTAAGATAAATCTCCAAAGACAGATGTCCTCAGCGCAAGATAAGGGACTGCTAGAAGATACATATGTTATACTAACAAACTTCTCTCACTGTCTGCTACAGTTCACCATCGTTTCCTACGAAACTTTCTTAATGAAAATATCTGAAGGTTTTCTCAGCGCAAAGAAAGAGGCAGCTGGAAAATACAAAAATCATAGTAACAAATATGTATCTTATTGCCTGCCATAGTCCGCTATCGTTTCAGTCCGCAAGTGAAAATATGCAAAGAAAGGTTTTCTCAGCGCAAAAAGTGGCTGGCAGAAGATACGAAAATGATTCTAACAAATATGAATATTTTACTGCTTGCCATAGTCTACCATTTTTTCAATCCGCAACTGAAAATCTCAAAAGAAAGGCCTTCTCAGCGCAAAAAAGAGGCTGCTAGAAGATACGAAAATGATTTTAACGAATATGAATCTTTTAGAGCCAGCCACGATTGATCCTTTCTTAGGTTCCCTTATTACTATCATTCCGCCGCGACGGGCGACAAAACTGTCACTTCCGTGGTTGCCGGCCGGGAAACGCGTGTCAGCGTTCAGTAAAACGACAGCACGTGACCGTAACGCGCGTCGAAAGACGCCGCAGCACGCATAGAACCGGAGCCCGACGACTCGCTGATTAGATACGTTTTATCTCGGCCCGGGCAGGTCGCGCAGCGCGGAGCACACCGACCGGGGAAACGATCGAGCGCCAGGCCTGCTGACCGGCGAAACGCAACCGCGCGACGCGGACCGCACATGCTGAGGAGACGAGCGTCGTCGAGCGTGCGCAACCTCCCGTCACCATGAGGCCTTGGACCAACAAATCCGCCGGCCTTGGCCTGCTCGGCCTCCTCCTGATCATTTTCGGCACATGCCTGTACTTCTTCTCGCCGTCGATCTTCCATCAGATACTGCAAAAGGTGAGCGACCCTATTTACACTTAACACCTTAACGCACAGTTCTTTTGAAAAAAAACCAGCCCAGAGAAATCAATTTTGATATACTGCGCTTTTGTTCCATGGAAAAGGCTATATTTTATTCTTGAATAAATGAGTGTTGTAGATTGCAATCCCATGTAAATGAGAAATATCAATGAAACGATCTTTTTTCTTTGCTTTCACATTGTTATCTCAGTTTGGCCTGTTTAGCGCGCTCGAATTAACTCGAGCGTACAAGTTAAGGGGTTAACGCTAGGTTTACGGGCATTTATTCTACACTTCGTTCTATTATTCCTAAGAGAATCGATGCGAGTTTATTTATTGTTTGCTCGTCTTTGATTCATAATACTGTTGAATATTGTACATTTCCTGTAGTTAATTTTATAATCGTTATTGGAAAAGTCTTGGGAAATGATTTTAAGTTAAAATTTCGGTAGAAATAGTGTTAACGGAGTTCTCTAGAGTTCTGTGCTATTAGCCTTTTGCGGACGACTGTTGACATTTCGGCGAGATGAAATTTTCATGTAACGAAGGCTAAATCGTATGCGAATGGTTTAATTATTCAAACAGCTAAAGATCAGCACGTAGTTTTTTTCTGCTGAAGGTTTTGCAGATTTTAAAGAATCTTCGTCCGCAAAGTTTGTTTTCCTATTATTTAACTAACTGCAATGTAATTAAGCATCATCTGCTGAAGGTTTTGCAGATTTTAAAGAATCATCATCCGCAAAGGGTTAGAAATACTTAGAGTGACATCATGTCACGGTTCATCGCATGATATTATTCCCTAGCGTAGAAGAAAGAGAATTTGATTAGAAACATTACAATTATGTCATGACAACTCACAATAAGACAATCCACAAATCAAACCACTCACACTATTTATACACTCAGATGCTCTCGTCTCACTCGCATTCTAGAACATTCTTTCATTACCATGCATTAGCTTCAGATATATTTGGAATATTCTAGATTCATAGAAAACAAACATCATTAACATAAAAATCAATATAGAGGAAATCAATTTAGTCTAGAATATTCCAAGGCTGTGAACATTCATTCAAAACGCGCACACAGTCGCGTCATTCATCTATTGCACACACATTCATCACTCATCAATATATCTATTCACACTCAGATACATTCATTCTCACACTACCTACTCGACTCAGTAAATATTCTCATGTAACATCAATTTCATTTCAAAATTTTACTTCACTTTCTCTAAGCTCGTAACATTACGCTATCGACAATTTGGAAGAAATAAATTTTACATTCCACCTGAAGTAGAAATTTCACTTGAAGATAATATTCTGCTGTTATCAATTTATTATCTTCAAGTGACATTTCTACTTCAGGTAGCATTTAAAATTTTGCTATTTTAAATTCAGTTATTTTGCTGTTATCAATTTATTATCTTCAAGTGACATTTCTACTTCATGTAAAATTTAAAATTTTGCTATTTTAAATGCAGTTATTTTGCTGTTATCAATTTATTATCTTCAAGTGACATTTCTACTTCAGGTAGAATTTAAAATTTTGCTATTTTAAATTCAGTTATTTTGCAGTTATTTTGGATAATGAACAACATTGATTACTGTTAAATTCGTCCAGAAATCTTCGTCACGAGTCTCGCTCGTCATTGTACGGCAAGGGGTTAAGCGTTACGATCCTCGCAGTTCGTCCGGAGTGAAGTGTACCACTGTCACTTGAAATTTAAAGATCCATTTGGATTTCTAAACGCCGACGCGGCGCGTTGAATGCACAACCGCTCGACCTTTCATTCACGTCGCTCGGGCTGTCGATGAATTACATTAGCGAATTTCGTTTCTCGTTAACAGTGGAACTACCGGTCGCGTCAGAATGACGCATTTATTGAATTTATTTAGCAACGTGCCAACTGAATTGTAAATCAATTCAAGTTTCAATAGACGCGCCCTTGGAGTTGCTAGGAATTTCGAGAGTCCAATTTCGAAAATCCAAATGACTTCTATTCTTTTGCTTCGCAATTATTGATATCTCTGCATTGAATATTCTTAACACTAGAACTACGTACCAGTCAAAATGACTGGTTTCGATTCTTTTGTTTAGCAATTATCGATATCTTCGAAGCATTGACTATTCGAAATGGTTTTGAAAATAGTTTCATTTGAGTACTATAATGAATGTCTGAAGAAATTGAAAATAATCTATTGCTACAGTTTTTATACGAATTGCATATTAATCGTATTAAATGCTCGGTAATTAACACTAGATTCACGGAACGCGTCAATTTAACGCAGATCGAATTTTATAAACATTATTTGGCAAACGTTTCAATCGGTTCTCGTTATTCCAATCACACGAATATGAATCCCGATTATCTATTCCTACATCTACAATTTCCAAAATCTAATTGAACGAATACCAACTTCCCCAGGACCAATAGAATAAACTGTACAATGCCCGTAAACCTAGCGTTAACCGCGTCAGCTCCTAAACGACTCAATTGTTGGTGCACAATATTGAAAAACAAAGATAAGTGCGACGCGTGATACATATTGAACAGCTAACGCGTTCTTTTCCAATCGTCCGCCATCGAGGCTCGCGTTTGTTACGCACCGTTTCCTTCCTATCATTTTCGATCGTCTCCTCGATTATTCAACGAGCCCAGCGGCTCGCGGAGCGCATCGAATCCCAGATTTCAGATATTTTGTCCACGTCTCGCTGAGAACTCAACGAGGTACGCGCCGCTCATTTCCAAGCGAGACCGCCGCCGCGCGTCGTGTAAACAGAGTCGCGGCGCTCTATTTTCCTTCCCATCGACGACTCGTATTGGTTAGCCCCGCGCTTCTGGGTTATCTCGGTATCGTGTTTCTTCAAAATTCCTGCGGTCGGTTGAGATAGAGACGCTCCGAACCGTCGACGACTTCCGATGCGGAAGACGAGGAACCGGTCGAAGCCGACGAAATTTCACGCCGTCGCCGACCGATTCGGAATAACGCGATCGCCGTGTAGCGTCTGGCCGCTGGGCCGACGCGATTGATAACGTGAACGGTTACTCGAGTCGATCTTATCGTTTCACGGTTGCGCCAGACGTTGATTCGAACGTTTTAAAGCAATGTGTTGAATGAAATTCGGAATGTCGCTTCGTTTGGATGCATTGTATACTCAACTGTTCTCGCTTCTTTCGTTCGCAGATAAGTTATTCTAGAAAGCTTTTCACTAATATGAATAATTTAACCCTTTGCACTCGGAAGTTTCTCACTAGAAATATTTAACACGAGGCGAAGACTTTTTGAAACTCGAGGGAAATCAAGTACGTTGGGAACAAAGCTATTTTATTCGAATATTTCGCGTATCGAATTATACAAAATTCAATTACCTATCAGATTTTAGTTTTGCAAATCAAGTGACCGAGTCACCTCCCGAGTGCGAAGGGTTAATATACCTCATTTAGTAAATCACACATGGTGTCTGATCTATGAGTTACCAAGTTAATCAGTACTGCAGTAAATTAACGATTAACAATAGAATAAGAAAGATCGATTCTCGTGGATTATAAAACTCGGCGACGCGAAACGCGCTTTTCATTCGACAGGAAATGCCGCTGACGCCGACGTCGAAGGCGTTCGAAGTGTGGAACGACACGAGCAGCCTGCCACCCATGTACATGAGGATCCGCTTCTTCAACTGGACCAACCCGGACGAGCTGAACGTGAAAGGGAAGAAACCGATCCTGGAGGAGGTCGGCCCCTACGTGTTTAGGTATGCAACACGCGAAACGGTAAACATATCTGACGCGCGTCGTTCTCGAATCGGTTGAGCAAGAAAGTGGAAATCACGCTGCGAGTGCAACGCTCGCAGGTGCGATAAGCGCGCGCGTCCGTTCGAGAGTGAAATTATCGTTGCTTCGGAGATTGTTCCTTGCGAGCGAAGATCGCGGGGGCGATGATTCCAGCGACTATCTCGGATGATCGCGTTGCGGACGACGCGTAAGCCAGGATTCTGTGGGCTGAATAATGAAATGGGAACTTGGAATGGTGCTCTTTTTCTGCAATTTTCCTCGTTTAGAGGAAGAATGCTCTGAGGACAATGTTTAGCTGGGGAATCCCCTCTTGTCAGCGTGGCTCTTGCTGGAGAGGAACAAGCGAATTGCAGATGTCGAAGTATATCTAATGTAGTGCATGAAAAACTTTTAATGGAAGCAGAAAGAACAGGACAATACTATGAATAATGAAATGAATAATATTATAGTCTTTTGTTTGAGAAAATAGTATAGTAAAAATCGTCGATCTATTTCTAGCCTACGTATTTGTAGCAGAAGTCGGTTCTATTGTCGCGTGGTATCAAGGTTAATGATTGATGTGTAGGATTTTATAGGCTTGAGATAAAATGGTGGGAACTAGTAGAAGTTTCTTATGGAAAATCTCACTTTTAACCCTTAGCACTCCAGGTTGATTTGTAATCTATGAGCAACTGCAACTAGTTTTTATAGTATTCCTAGCAAAAATTAGAAATGCTAACATTTCTTCGATCCTTTATTTTCCTTGTTAGCACAAAATTTGGATGTGTGGAAAATCGAATAATTTTAGGGTGGTTTCTTTAAGATTCATTAAAATATTTAATATTATAACTGGTGCAATATTGAAGCCTACAGGGTTCAAAAGGTTAAACATTCTTTCTAAACTAGTGGCATTGAGTTTCTACAGCTATGGATCATTCGATCATCTGATTAGTAAAATTCTACGATTCAGTAAGAAATATTTAGAAACTCCTAACGATCTTTTAAATAGAGCTATAGAAGGTCCAGCTGTACTCATCTGTTAACCCTTTGCACTCGAGCGGTGACCCTCAGTCACCATTTGATTCAATATACCAAAATTACAAACTGTTGAATATAATACTAAGTTTCTTATAATACATCAATACGTGAAATATTTATATAAAACAGCTTCATTACTTAATCCACGTGATTTCCTCATTAGTTCGTTTCAAATGTCGTCTGTCTCATCGGAAAATGTCGAATGTTTCTAGTGAAAAGCTTCCGAGTGCAAAGGGTTAAGTAAAAGTCTTCGTTAGGTCCTCTAGCTAATAGCAGTTTCTCATGGAAAATTTCACTTTCATAGTTACCTTCCGACGACCTTTCAAATCATGCGATAGAAAATCCAACTGTATTCATTTGTAAAAACCGATGTCGACAATAACTCGTCACAGCTTAACCATGAAACGAACGCCTAGCTGGACGCCAGGGAAACTTCGAGGTCGCGTTAATGTTCGGTCTCGTCCCTGCTGCGAGCGAAACACAGTGATCGGGTTCGAGTATCAATTACACCAGCCGTTCGGCGCGTCACGGAAATCGGGTACTCGCCGGAGGAAAAGGCGGCATCGTTGCGGAAACCGTTGCGCAACGTCGAAGAGCGATCCGGTGCGCGACGCGAAAATCGCCGATCAGAATTCCGCGCGGTGCACCGTACCCGCAGGCCAGACGAGCCTAATCGATCCTTCGACGAGGGCATTCTAATAGACGGTCTAATCACGATAAGAAAGGCATAGTTAACCTCGCGATATTGACTTCTTAATGAACGGGCAAGACGTCTACGACGTGCGCCGCTGCGCAGGCGTAGGTGGCTCGAAACGTTGCGTCGGGTAATTACTTAATTAATTACTTTCGCCAGGGTCGTGGACTCGTTCGCGAGCAGGCCGTCCTTTGTTCCTTTGCGGCCGAGGACCGATTAAAAGATCGACGCGATCGGCTGAGCGAAATAATGCCGGGGAACTCGTTTTAGAAGCCAAGCGCAATTGGAGTTTGCTCGATGATTGCCATTCAGGTCTAACAATTTCATCGTTTCCCACCGGTGGCACGGATCAGTAGACACTAGATTTACATTTCAACGTTATGTTCCGTTAAAAACAGAATTATCAAGTTGTCTTACAATATCGGAGCGACAATGGTTAAATAATAGAATCGATAGATCTCTACATTCCTATTCGAATAGTATCTATATTATAGAGATTACAAACGATCAAGAGATTGTCCATTCTTCGTTAACTCTAGAAAAACTGTAATAATCTAAACGACTTCCATTCTTCTGCTTCGCAATTATTGATATCTCAGCATTGAATATCCGAAATGATCTTAACACTTAGCCAACCGAATGGGGAGATCTCCCACCTTTCACTTTTATTTTATTTCTCTTTTCTTTTGTTACTTCGTAAGTCTTGAAGTGTGATTATTTGCAATTCATCAAATGCGGTTCTTGTACAGCTCATCGCTCATCGACGTCAATCTAGCGGGTTAGGTCGACACCCCGCAATATTATGTATACAACCTCGATCTGGGAAAAATCCCGTATACAGCGAAAAACAGGTTGCTCGCTGCGTCGCAGCGTCGCGTGCGCCGCGGATGCAACCAGGTCACGGCGATCTTCGGAATAAACGGCAGGACGTTCTATCCGGTCCGGTCACCCTCGCGGATGGCGGCCAGCCGATTCCGTCTTCGACTCCCCCGGCACGGTTACACAACAAAAAGATTGCGCCGGCAACAATAAGGGAGCATTAAGTCGGACCGCGAGAGGTGCATCCGCGCGCTTAGCGGCCGACAATTGTCGCGTCAAATTTAATCAGCGGGGAGACACGTACGGATATGTAGGCTAAAGCATCGAATCACGGCTCTCTGATCGTGCCCGCCGTCCCTTAATTGAATGCCGCCTCGTGGAACTGATTCTAAACAGCGGCCTTCTTAATTACACGCCGCACGCCACTGCAATTCTTCGCCGCGTCCGCCGATTTCCGTTCTCCGGGCACGCGGTGCTCGAGCACCGGTACCGGGAGTCACGGTGATATCGAGTACGCTTCGCGTCGATTGTCGCTGATCTTGGGAAGACGCGGAGCTGGTAATCGCGTATGGGTTGAATAATGAAATGGGTACTCTTTCTACTGCGGTGTTCCTCTTGTCAGCGTGGCTCTTGCTCAGGAGGAACAAGCGAATATCTGCAGATGTCGAAGTATCGTGTAAAAATCGACGATCGCGATCTATTTCTAGCCTACGTATTTGTAGCAAAAGTCGGTTCTATTGTCGCGTGGTATCAAGGTTAATGATTGATATGTAGGATTTTATAGGCTTGAGATAAAATGGTGGGAACTCGTAATGGTACTCTTTTTACTGCGATGTTCCTCTTGTCAGCGTGGCTCTTGCTGGAGAGGAACAAGCGAATTGCAGATGTCGAAGTATATCTAATATAGTGCATGAAAAACTCTTTTAATGGAAACAAACAACAGGACAATACTATGAATAGTAAAATGAATAATATTATAGTCTTTTGTTTGAGAAAATAGTATAGTAAAAATCGACGATCGCGGTCTATTTCTAGCCTACGTATTTGTAGCAGAAGTCGGTTCTATTGTTGCGTGCTATCGAGGTTAATGATTGATGTGTACGCTGTATTACCGTATGCCAATTTTGTTCACAAGTTCAGATGCGCCATAACTCAGGCAGCTCTTTGATTTTCTTACGTTCACGGTTGCGCTAGGAAAATAGCAGGATCTGCTTCGCTCAGAGAAGGAATAACTCAATCTCGCAATTAGATTAATTTACGTGAGTTCAAAAGGCACACGTTTGTTGAAGCACTTACAAAGAATAAGTGCCAATGTGCCACGCTCGGCGCGTGCGCCACGGTTTGGCCACCTCTGCGTTAACGAGTTAACGCGTTCTTGTGAACAGATTTCCTTAACTAATCGCGTAACTCGTCTGAGAATTGGACTTACCACTCGGAAGCGTAAAAGCTAGAAGCTAGAGTAGATTGCAATGTCGTCTATTTTATTTTCTCAAACAAAAGACTGTAATATTATTCATTTTATTAGTATTGTCCTTTTGTTTGTTTCCATTAACATACTGATTGCCACCAGAATTTCTAACGTTTTGAATAGTAATACTTATTCTTTAATGGCAAAGGCAAACGATATTGAAAATAATTATCAATAGTTCAATATCACAGTAGTCATATCACGCTATGATCTACCTACTTATGTTACTAAATTTTATTTAAAATCAAGTTTCTTGTAATTGTTCCTCAGCAATTTCGAAGCTCCGCTCATCGGTGACCACCGTGGCAGTCAACATGTTAGTTTCTCATGCAACCTGTTTACCTTTATCTCGCAGCTAGCTTGACAAAAAAAGTCAAAGGAAAGTTTCTATAAAAAATGGTAGGTGCGGTTGGTAATGTACAACGCGAGAAATAAAATGTTTCACGTGACGATATCGTGTGTACCTTTCGAACCGATCGCAGCGTATCTAGGTACGAAGTCTCGTAGAAGCAATCGGTTTTTATATTTTCACGCGTACACCTGTTTGGAAGCGGCATTAGCGTATCGGGAAACCGGGTTGCTTATCATAATCGTAAGAAAAACGTGCCAGGTGTACACATCGCTACATTTTCGTTAAAAACCGTTCGACGCGCGTTTGCTCAGCTGCGCGCCGTTTATCGATACAGGTTGAAGTGTTGTCGATAACGACATTCGGCGATCGCGATCGCCGCGATCGGACGATTCACACGGAGGAAATATGATTCGCAGGGAAATTCGGCAGAAAGCGAACGTGACGTTCCACGCGGAGAACAACACCGTCAGCTACTTCTACCGGCGATGGTGGTACTTTGAACCGGAACTGACCAATGGCTCCTTGAGCGACCCTATTACGCAATTAAACGCCGTCGCGATCGTGAGTATACGAACTCCAGATTCGCTCCTCTCACGGGTCCCTTCCCTATCGCTGAATTCCACGGCGTGTCAACCGACAACGTTATTTTACCTCGTTTCGCTCGCCGCTGTCGCGTTCCGAGTCAAGTACACATAGTCAATACATATTCTCACCCACTAGCAGTGTTTGACTTCAATACAGTGTAGACATTATCTGACACTGAAGAGATTAGTGAACGTGAACACTCCATACGAAGACCCCCATACACGTTGACGCTATGAGTGATAAGTCCTAAAAAATTTCCTAATGCGTATCGCAAGTGAAAAACGTTCACGTGTCAACAGCTTTATCGCGGTACTGAATATCTTTAGATATTGCATGTTAGTAGACAGTCGAAAGAAATGGAAAGGAAGATTTTCGATCGACAGCTAGGAAAACGAAGTTTCCCTTTGAACGTAGAAATCTCGTTGCCGGTTGACGCGCGTTCCCCGACGCGCGGATGAACAACGTTCGCGTTTCAGTCGGCGAAGCACAAGGTGCGCTATTGGGACGAGATGATGCAGAGCACCCTGTCGATCATGCTGTACTCGACGGGCACGCCGATCCACATCACGAAAACGGTGAACGAGCTGCTGTTCGCCGGCTACGACGACACGCTGATCAAACTCGGGCAGTCGGTCGGCGGCGTCGCGGACGACATCCCGCCGTTCGACAAATTCGGCTGGTTCTACATGGTGAGCGGCGTCCGTCGGCCGTTTCTTCCGCGGATGTTCGGCTGGGAATTGTTTATTTAATTGTGTCGAGGGCGCGCAGAAGGTCGAAGACGCGATTTGCGCGTGTCGTAGCAACGGCATTGCAGCCGGCCGGTAAATTATTCGCAGCGAGACTTAAATTGCTACTGAATAGAACGGGTCACGTGTAGGTCGCTGAATGACGAATGAAAAGCAATGGGAGGCATATTATGTATTAATTTGTCGCGTCACGCGTGCAACATTTATGGCCTGCCGATCCTCGGCCGCTCTCGCGCCCGACGGTTTCATCTTGTGCGTTTCTTTTTCTCTCCCTTATCTCGCGATAAGGCTGCGGAGATTTCGGCGATTCGCTGCGTAGAAAAGTGTGCAGCCGATGTTATCGTTGTCCCGGGCTACTTGAGGCCGAGAAATCCTTTGATGTCTACACCTGCGCGATTTAATTGAGTGAGAATGACCGTTAATCGAGTAATCACGATTAAAGCCGGGTTGATTGGGTATTTATTATGCGGGACTCGCGATAAGGAGGCAAATGTGATGATTTCTTTTTTGTTATCTGCGATCGATCACTTGTGGATTTGTTAGAACTCATTTTGGAGAGAAGGAATATTCTAGGGGTATTCTGATATCTAAAGTATTGTTTTGTTTATTGTTCTAGTGTCTATGTTATTTAGTATCTGAATTATAATGATCGATAACGGAAGAGTAATAGTTAATCAGAATTCAAGAGAATCGAGTAATACTTATGCCTCCCAAATTCAATTATAAACAGCGATCTATAACGGAAGATTAATAATTAATCAGAATTCAAGAGAATCTAGTAATACTTATGCCTCTCAAAATCAATTATAAACAGCGACCTATGACAGAAGACTAATAATTAATCGGAATTCAAAAGAATCTAGTAATACTTATGCCTCTGAAATTCAATTATAAATTATCCTCAGTTTAACACATTATTTCAAAGGGGTTAATCTGTTGCAACAATCTATAACGGAAGACTAATAATTAATTAGAATTCAAAAGAATCTAGTAATATTTATGCCTCTCAAATTCAATTATAAATCCTCCCCAGTTTGAAACATCATTGCAAAATCTGTTGCAATTTTCGATCGTACAATTCGAAAGTTCTCCTCATCTCATCCCTTATCTTCAATTCTCCGCTGGATTTCGTAGAGGAACGGGTCCACGATGTTCGACGGCCACTTCAACATGGACACAGGTGTCCAGGACATCGAGCAGTTCGGTGTGCTCAGGAAATGGAACTACAAGGACACCACCAGGTTCTTCAAGAGCCCGTGCAACGTGGTAGAGGGAAGCGCCGGCGAGTTCTGGCCGCCGTACCGGCGGAAAGACGAGATCGTGTTGTTCAGCGGTGACTTGTGCAGGTCAGTAGGTCGCCGGGGACAACAGGAAAGGGAGGACGCGCGGTCGATCGCTAATTAGTCCCGTCTGCGCGCGCTAAATTGAGCGTCGCTGAACCTTGGACAATCTTAATTCCCACGTTCCCCCATTAACCTTCGAGACACGTAAATTGGATCGTCCGGTAATCCTGTTTGCGGGCCGGCTCCACGTCCGTAGGTGGAGCCAATCAGTCTGCCGGCGTGCCGTCGATATATGGGATCGTAATTGACACGGTGAATCCCCTGCGATTCGATTCTGTGCGGACTTACACACCCTGCCCCGCGATCTCCTTCGCGATTGCCACCTTCAAACTTGGATCGCCCTCGGTAATTAACGCTACAACTACCGAATAACTCGAAATCGTCCAATCCTAAACTTTTCTCTCGCGGTTATCGAGAACGTCAATCTCTTGGAGAGTCCACGGACAAATTGGAAAATCCAATTTCACTTGACTCTAGTGTCAACAAGGGAAAAGAATCCTAATTTTCCTTGATAATCTAGTTACTTAGATAGAGTTAAATGTTGAAATCCTAGTTAATTACTAGAATAATACTTAACTACTTGATTTAACTACTTAATTGCTTAATAGAAACTTTAATTACTAGAATAATACTTAACTACTTAATTTAACTACTTAACTGCTTAATAAAAACTTTAATTACTAGAATAATACTTAATTAGAAGGATTTCAATTACTAGAATAATACTTAACTAGAAGGTTTTCAGTTACTAGAATAATACTTAACCAGAAGGATTTCAATTACTAGAACAATATTTAACCAGAAGGATTTCAATTACTAGAATAATACTTAACTAGAAGGATTTCAATATTTAACTCTCCATTTAACTAAATTATCAAGGAAATATTAGGATTCTTTTCCCTGGTTAACACTAGAGTCAACTGAAATTAGATTTTACACTAGACTTAATTACTAGAATAATACTTAGATCGGTAATACTTAGATTTATCTTGGAACGAAGGCTAATCATTCTATCCAATTTCGAAACATCATCAGTACTATGAATCAAAGATCACATTAAACGCCATCAGGTGACTCACGCTTCTAAATGACTAGAGAACAATTGTAATATACAAGATACCGATGTGAAATGTCTAATAACGTAACTTATCAATACTATACAAACATTGTAACAAATAATTAATAATTGCTCCCACTTTTATTTACAAAAGAAAAGCTACAGAAAAACGCCTAAGATTTTCGTGGTTAACCCTTTGCACTCGGATGTTTCTCACTGAAAATACTCAACAGTTTCCAACGAGTTACAGATGACACTCTAAAACGAACTGAATAAGGGAAGGTACATAAGTTAAGCAAAATTATTATTTCAATATTTCCAATATTCATGGACTGTAAGAATCTTAATATTACATGTAAGACATGATTCTATATCGAATCGCATGGTGACTAAGAATCACCTCTCGAGTGCAAAGGGTTAACGCGTTAACGTTTCAAGACCATTGCATCGTTCCATCGATGTTCACAGGCCGTTGACGTTCGAGTACGCGGATTCCACTTTCCACTCGGGCGTGGAGGGCTACCGGTTCATCCTCAGCGAGAAAACGCTGGGCAACAACACGAGGAGGCGCTACCCTCACGAACAGGCGAAGTATTTCGAGCAGACCACCACCACCGAGGACTTCTTCGAGGCGGAACATTCGGCGGAGGTGACGGACCAGCCCGACGAGGACCCGGACGTCGTGAACATCGGCAACTGCTACTGCAACGGAAGATGCACCCCGGTCGGCCTCATGAACGTCAGCTCCTGCCGCTACGGCGCGCCCGTGTTCGTCAGCCTGCCTCACTTCAACAGGGCTGATCCAGATCTCAAGGACAAAGTGCTGGGATTGAGCCCCGACGAAGAGAAACACGATTTCTCCATCACCCTGGAACCGGTGAACTACCCTTCTTTTTCCGTAGATCCGCTTGCCTACGATATTGTAGCGAGGCAATTTATTTTGTACATATCGGAGTACGCTCTCTCGCATCTGGCAGCCAGATTCGCACGAGTCAGGGTTTTCCACGCGGACACTTTCAAGATTTTCGCGCCCCGTTTTTCCTCACGCGTTTTTGGTGTCAGTGACTTGCTTCCTGTCCTTGGACAAGAACAGAACATATTGATGCATTGTACGAAACTTAATATTATATACAGCACTTTGTAATTTTGTTGTATCAAATCAAACGGTGATTGAGAGTCACCTCTCGAGTTCGAAGGGTTAAAAGATAGCCGCTGCTGTACGGTAAAGTTTCATATGATTTGCATATTCTGAATGTATTTCGATCGATGAGAATTTTCCACTGTGCAACTACGTTAGGTTAGACTGTAATGCACAACTATCGATTACAAAGAATTTTGCTATAGCGACGAGCTATTAGAATATTAGTTAACTTGCTCTCGAGAGATGACAGGAGCAAAATCGTAAAAATGAATGAATTTTCCATATAATATTAAACTTCGAGTAATGCATGAAGTAAAAGGCTGGAATAAAGTATGCTCATAAATAAACTGCCACTTTCCTTTCAGACGACGGGCATTCCGCTAAAAGTCTCCGCGAAGCTGCAGCTGAACGTGCTCCTGGAGCCATCAAAGATCGTGTCGTAAGTATGTTCGCAGCGATGAGAATCGCGCGGGGGAACGAGATAAAATAAACGAACGGAGGTGTATCGGGCAGAAGGTAGAATTTAATAATAAATTCAATTCCCTCGAAATCCATGTAGGCTGTTCAAAGAGGTGCCGAGCGTGTACTTCCCAGTGATGTGGTTCTCGCTGGATGTCGAGGCGACGGACAAGTTTATCAACGATCTGAAGACGTTGCTGTCGTTGACCGACGTCTTCATGTACGTCGGCGTGATCCTGGTCCTCGTCGGATCACTGACGATCTTCACCGTAGCTCTGTTGTACCTGTTGAGCAGGCAGCGCGTGAAATCGCCGACCGGCGACAAAGTGAGTTCCATTTCAGCAGTTGTCGAACTGTTCACCGTTAACGCTAGGCTTACGGGAATTTATCGTACAGTTTATTCTATTGCTCCTGGGGAAGTTGATATTCGTTCATTTAGATTTTGGAGATTGTAGATGTAGAAATAGACAGGATTCATATTCGTGTAATTGGATCAACGAAAACCGATTCAAACGTTTGCCAAATAATGTTTATAAAATTCGATCTGCGTCAGATTGACGCGTTCCGTGAACCTAGTGTTAAATGGACTGAAGTGATTATATATTCAAAAGTTGTAACAGGGCTTTCTGATATAGGGAAACGAAGAAACGAGTGTAGTGTTTGCATAATTAATTAGAAACATCAGGAAATATCCATATTACGTTGACTTCTAAGAGAGTTAATTAAGTTCTTACTACTATATACTTAAGACGTGTGAATTACTCACGTTACCAAATTAACACTGAACTTACGGAGCATTTAAGCTAACTTTCGAAATTCCTAGCAACTCCAAGAGTACATCTATTGAAACTTGAATTGATTACAATTCAGTTGGCACGTTAAACAAATTCGTCAATAAATGCGTCATTCTGACGCGACCGGTAGTTCCACTGTTAACCAGGAACTAAATTCAATAATCTAATTCCATAAACCTATTGTTAATCCACGGTTTCCCTGTTAATCATCGCGACTGTTCTCCGCAGGTGTTGATGTACCTCGACACGAGCGGCGGCAACGACGACGCCCACGTGCGAATCGATCGCAGACTGTACCCCAGTTCGATCGAGTGCTTCAACATGGATCTACAATCGAAGATCCAGCCGGGGAAATAGCGAAAGGCAGCGTTGGTCGGGCGAAGCGGCCCCGGCCGTCCCTGGGCGGATCTTTTACGGCGCGGCGGTCTCGTTCGGCCGCGCCGCGGAAATTCGGAATATTCGGCGGGCTCGGCTGATCGAAGCTGCGCTCGAACCTAGGATTTTAAACGGGGCCGAGCTATCGGTATCTATTAGATAACTCTGACATAAGTAGGCTGTTCAGACGAGGAAACGCGCAGAGCTCGCGAGGATGCTGTTGCCGCTCGAGTAGCGAGCAAATATTTGTGAAATCTTCGACGGTCGTCGACTGGAATGCTTCTCGTTCCTCGGGAACGGTTAGTCACGGGCTAACGGCGGCACCGTCGTCGCGTTAGCTCGATCGAGCCGAGTCGCAACAAAGGATTATCGCCCGGCGCGCCGCGATCACGGGGAATTGATCGATAGAATCTAAGACTGACGACGGGCGGAGGAACGCGGCTTCGACGGACGCCCGCCAGCTGAACGATCGGTCTCCGGCGCGGAAATTTCGAGTCTTTTCTAGGGTAATCGCGGAAACTGGGACCAAAGGGGAGCGCGTTCGACGTGTGCCAAACGGAAGCAACGAATCGTGTCAATTCGAAGGTGCCAATCTTACTCCGCGAATCACTTCCGACAGCAATACCGTTGCGTCGGCGGTTGGCGCGCGATTAGCGACGCCGCCGGCCGGCGCGTATGTTCCTCTTCTTTCGAAAGGCGACAACGTCTCGTGCCAATAATTTTAGTCGCGGTTACAGCGTTAAGTTTATAGTCGGTTAAGTCCAGCGTCCTATTTACAGCGTTACTCGTTCTATTTCCGTTTCGTCTCCTCGCGGAACGGCCACGACGTTCGCCATTCAGCGCCGAGCGACTCACGCTCGGACGCGGGACGCCGTTAGAGACAAGGAAATTTTGTATTGTATTTTAATAAAAACTCCAGACTTTTACTACGTTACTGCCGAGTTTCCATGGCGCGCCAGGTTTTCAAATGAACCGCTGCGGAATAGAAGGAACTCGTTCGTTATCGTTAGCCAGTAACCTAGCGAGCAGACTTATCTCTCACCGATAAGCTAGGGACCTTGCGTCCACCTCAAACCAAAGACTACAGAACTCTAAAAGAAATAAGAATCAAATCAAACTCCCATTACGTAAGATGACAAGCACAATTCGATATTCCATCGTTTTCCATCCAGCAGCGACATACCGCTTTCACGCGACTTTCGAGAGTGAAGGCGCACGCAAGCTCGCGTTTCCGTTAACAAAAGGTCGAACGCGGCCAGTTGTCAGCGGTGCGGACACCGGGGAACCTGGATTCCCGAGATCGTCGAGCAGCAAGTAGCGGGACCAGCGATTCGCTCGGCAGAAGGTAAGGCGAGCACCGTCTAGCATTGATCCAGCCTTACGTAACGCGTTCGGTCGACGGGCTAACGATCCCCGGCGGCGGCCGGGATTCCAGAATTTTCAATCGGATCGACGGGCGATCGAGGGGGAGGTCCGCGGACCGGGAAAAGCGATTCCGACGCGAGTCGACGCGAAGCAACGGGATCGCCGGGCGAAACCGATCGCGCGGCGGGCTCGAGGGAACGGACGAACGTCGCCGCGCGACGCCAGGTGAGCCGCGACGCGATAAAACGGCGATGATAACGCGACGCTCT